GAGGAGCAGGAGGTTAAGATCTGCCTGGTTTTGCCAAGTCATATACAAACTGGGGCCTGATATCTTATGCATGAAACAAACAGAGCCCAGCTAGGGGAGTGCCGGGGTAACCGAGCCTGACAACAGAGCTGAAACAACATAAACTCTGTAAAAAAATAAATAAATAAAAAATCTCTGCTCCACCCTTTAAACAAGTGGCTTCAAAAGCAAGAACACTGTGCTGGATCAGCTGCACAGACTGGCATCCTGGAGCTGGGCTCTTGCCCTCGGCTTGCCTTGCAGAGGGGCTTTTAGCAAAGCTGTTAACCTTACCAGTGCCAAGCTGCAGAAGCAGCAGTACTGTTAAGCTGTTATGCTTCCACCGTATCTCCCCTCCCCTATACTGTTGTGGGCTCTGCTGTGGGGCACCTCATTTTTCCCTGTGTGATCCAGCTTTCAGTGTCACCTCTCAGCGATGGCACAAGTGCCACCTGGCATGCAGCACCCAGGAGATGACCTGTCTCTTACAGGCAGAGCATCCCTAGCCCTTATTTCTGGTCTTTGCTGGACTGTTACTCCTCATGCACAATTAACTAAAACCTGCCATGTTTCCTTGACACCTCTGTCCTCCCCCTCAAAAAAAAAAAAAAAAAAAAAAAGAAAAGAACGGTGGCCATTAAAAAACAACTCCACGGGAGAGGGCAAATCATTACATTACTACTAGGTAAATAAAATTGCTGCTCCTGGAGAGGTTACTAGGCAAGCTATTAGCCAAATTCTCCTTTCACCTTGAAGCAATAATTGCTCCTTTTTGAGAAAGGACGCACGCAGCAAAGTTCCAAATTTGCAGGCGCTGTACCAGGGCAGAGTCCCCACAGCTAGGTTAAAGACAGCAGGCTTATTTTGTACAGTATATATAATACAATCTCAAATTCACAACACAGCCGTGCCTCGCTGGGATCAGAGCCGCACTGAGTGAGCTCTACACAAAAACAAAGCCAGCAATCTTTACTCATCCAGCCCAGTGTTTTAATAGTGATCAGGGAGGACGTGGGTGAAGGGAAGAGTGAGGTGAGGGGTCTGAGCCCCACAGCCTGCAATATCTAACTCGTTCAGCTGGCCTGGGACACAGGGAAAAACTGAACCCTCATCACCTGAAAGTCAACCTGATGCTCTGAGCTACCTGGTGGCACAAAACCAAAGCCCATCCCTGGCTGGAAATGCAGCCAGAGTCAGCCACAGTGCAGCCAGTGTGCGTGTGGCTGGAGGAGAGGTGAGACCAGGTGGGACGGAAATGGGAAAAGTGAGGATTACAGCCCAGCCCTGCCCAGAGCAGGCACAAACCCAGCTGCACGGCAAACAAAGGTATTTTTTATTATTGACTCAAAGGAGGGGTTCTCTGGGACTCGGTGTTGTAAAAACGCGTGTTTTTGAAGTGCAGATGTCCCTTCCTCTGCAGAGCCCCTCTGGCTGGAGATGATATATGCTGGCAATCCCATGCATTTTCATCTCTGAAATGGACTAGCTTGTACTGAGTGTGAGGGATTTAATTTAAAAATCCTGAGGCAAGTCCATTCAGATACACCACCATAAACAGATTTAGCCTATTCCCTCCTGCCTTCTCCTCCATTATTAAATTAAGATCTTCTTTATCGTATCTTTTTGCCTCAGAAGAACTAGAATCCTCCCTCCTCCTGCAGAAATTAAATGCAAGAAACATGCTTTTGTGTTCATGGACTGTGTTTCTGTGCCTGGTACAGAGTTCAGCCTGCTGCTAGCACCAAGGGAACGCCATACAGTTTTGCCAGTACAGGTAAAATATTTCATATGATCCTGGACCAGGTATTAACGCAAGATGAATTTTTTACTGGCATTGCTAACATAGGGCTCTCTTAAGAGATGTGCTGAGATGTCTCTATTTTCATATGGCAGATGCAAGGTCTGAAAGTAAAAATTTTTGCGGGTGAACAGGAATTATTTCTGCTTCAAGTCCAGTAAATGTTTAATGTGATGCTAAAGTTCAAGATTAGATCCTGGCCTTTGTAGAAACAGTATTTGATATTATCACCATAAGGAGAGAGAAAACAAGAAGAAAAGGCTCCAAAAAGATGCTTTGGTTTGCCCAGGATGTACCACACTTGTGGCCAAACAGGACTTCTGGGACACAGGCCTGGAAGAGGTGCTGGATAACCTTACACCATAAAGTTCTCCTTTTTTTTTTTTTTTTTTTTTTTTTTCCTGGGATGGGACAGAGGCTGCCTTGCCTCTCCCTTCCTCCTTCTCCTGTGATAATACCAGCTCTGGTTTGTCCCTCCCTGCAATGTCTCACCCACCTGCCTTGGCTCTGGGCAAGGGCTGGGGCTCACCAGCTCTCAGGAATGCCTTGCAACAGATTATTTCTCAAGAAGCATCTGCATCATTTCACACTTGTTTTCAGCCTACTTCAGAAGGATAAATAACCACTTTAAAATATTTCTGCAGTGGGAATTCTGTCTTCTTCATTTTGAAAAGCTTTAATTTTGGATATATATATATCTTAATTTGATTTTTTTTTTTTTTGTAATACTAGTTCAAAATAATTTGACCAATATCAGCATGCCAAATAAAGCAGATGAATTAGTCATTTATTTTTATTTTGAAAAAGTAGTCTACCAGTGACTGGCTGGCACATATTATATCCTTTACTAGAAAATAGTATCTCCTAGACATGCTGGTAACACCACAGCTTGACACAATTGCACATGCTGTTAATAACAGCGACGCACAGTTGATAGGAAGTGATGTAAATTCATAAAAATAAATACAGCTCTGAAACGAACTTTGGGAAGTTTTACAATTCACAGTTATTTTCCTAATGGGAAATTAAGTCAAAATAAATATATTTTTCATACTCAGCGCCTGCTGTGGGGAGGTATTTCCTACTGAAGCTGAATGGGAATCCCAAAGGCCAGCCAAGCTTCAGGTCCATGGAGCCAGTCTTGGGCTGCCTTCTCCATAGGGAGCTGCTCGCCCCTGCTGAGCTCTGCCCAGAGCCTGGTGCACAAAACCTGGTGAACCTGTGCTGAAGAACAGGCTGTCCCCAGCAGCAAGAGGGAAAGCCCAGTGCAGCTTTACAAAACCCCTGTCTCGATTTATGCCCTTCCTCTCCCCCTCGCTGTGCCCCTAGGCTGGGCTTACGGAGGCAAAGCTGCAGAAACGACTGCTCTTGCCTTCAAATTGAGAAGCACTGCTTGGTGTGCACCAGGAAAGGAATTTACACCATGTAACTTGCCTAGTTAAACTGGACTTCTCCTGAAAACGCTCTCCTAATTTTGTTTGTACATGGAAACAGCCACGTCTCGCCGAGGAGAAGCAGCAGAGTATCAGTGCTCCTCATGGGAGGAACCCTGAATTTCAGCTGGTGACGCCTGAGGTAATCCATTCCGTCCTGTGAAAGTCACTGGAGACCTGTGCTAGGGGTATGAGGTTGGTTGACACCTGGCTTTCATTTGGGAATGGAAAATAGGCCTTTCCTTGGGCAGTTCTGTCCTGAGACTCCTCCAGAGGAGGACTAAGAACTCCTCCAAAGACAAAGTTTCCCTATACTAAATGGTTGCATTAAAATATCACTTCAACCATGGCATTAACTACAATGAAACGTTCTCAAAAAGCAATCATAACCCCTTGATTTTTTGAGGCTGCAAGGCAAAAGGATTAAAAATTAAAAGGGAGGAAAGAACTCTATCAGTTCCCTGTTATGGAAGCTCCTCATTCCCTGATCACCCCAGTCTCCCTCATCCTCCTCTGAACATCTTCCAGTCTGAATTCATTGGTTTTGAACTGGTGATCTAAAGCAGGTAAAATGTGAATATAAATGATCTTTCTCTATAAAACATGTTCTTTTATATCTAGGAAGAAATAAGTTGCTTAGACACTTGGTTGAAGATGGGCTGAACGCTGCTGTGCTAAAACCCAAACACAAGGCCAAGAAAATCATAGATTTTTCCTGATATAGCAACATAATCTTTTTGATAATCACAGACAAGCCTGTGTTGCCTCACCTCCAAAGCCAAGAAGGAGAAAGACCTCACATCTGGCAGAGATCCCTCCCTGGGGGCAGTCACCACCTCCTCTTATAGGACCATCAGAGCAGCAAATGGTTGGCCCCATCCTAACCCCAGGGCTCACAGACTGCCCTGTGCCAGGGAAGGGGAACAGCAGCACTGCTGCAAAAATAAACCCTTGGGAAAATGTTATTGAGTCTTCTGAGCTCAGAGAGTCTGGGAAAAAAAAATCTTTTTCATGTCAAAATATGAGTATGGCACTAATCTCTGCTTGGCCCTCTGCAAGGACACATGCGTAGCCCTCCTCCTGGGCTTCTTCCTAGCACACATCTCTAGACAGTTTTTTGCTGGAAACCTTGGTGAGGACTGTGCTGTGCAAGGCAGCTGCTCCCAGGCTCCACACCTTTGGTTCAGGGTCTGTTTTGGGATGCCAAGTGGAGCTCGCAGGGAGGGAGTTGCACGGGCTCTGGTTTCTGTCCCAGGGTTGGTGTTCCCCCCGTGGTCCTGGGCTGCTCTCAGCCTGCACCTCTGTGCTTTGCTCTTCTTCCTACCCCTCATTAAAAGGAATACCTGGGCCATTGCAGTTAACACATTTCATCACCAAAAGACTGCATCAGACCACCGCATAACTTTATTCTAGCTTATTTTATAAACTGCTTGGGAGAGCATTATGCATCGCTCCTCCACACCCCCTGCAGGAGATCCACCTAGAAAGGACACCAAAAGCCAGACCATCAGAGCATACAAACTTTGCAGCTTGTTCTGTTTCAGCTGTCCTCCTGTTCACTGGCACAAGGTCTGCAGCACTTCCCCAAGGCAGTATGAAATGCAGGAAAAGCAAACGAAGTGTGCCTTCCTCCGCCTGCTCCGTAGGTGTAGGGCATGCTCCCAAACATGCTCACAAGAGCTTGCACTTGTTTTGAATTTACATTTCTTATGTTTCCACCAGTGGCAATGGTGTTACCAGACTTCACTCACCTTTCAATTTCTTCTTTCCAAATTTTAATCCAAATAGAGACATCCCCAAGCTTTATTTTAGTCCAACTCCATGGAATTTCTGCAAGACAAAAGAGAAGGCAGTTCAGTGTGGGTTTCCATCTCCGCAGCACAACACGATGCCACGCATACACATAATTATGGTGTGTTTTAAATGATAAACCATCTCAGGTCTGCAGGTTGCACTGCATCAATGTGCTACCTTACCTTGGGCATTTTGATCTGTTCATCTCCTGACATGGCACAAAGAAAGGGCCAGGGATGGAGAGTCTAAAAGGAACATTCCTGCTCCTTTGGCCCTATATGAAAAGGAGAAATACCCCCACTGGGCTTGCACCTTCGGTGCAGAGGAACTGGGTGGCTACCCAGCAAGACCAGCCTCCCTGAGGAGGAGGAAGCAGTGGGAAGCACTGGTTTCCTGTACATCTGCTGGTGCTCACGCTGCTGTCTGTGGCTGGTCACTCTCATTCATGTTTGGGGTGGACTGGGCTGTATGGCTCTGAACAAAACTTCTCCCCTGCTCACTGCAAGCCTCCTGGCCCCCCAAACAGGCACCAGGAATGCTTTAAGGCACAGGCAGAGGAATTGTGCCTTCAAAAAGTTACATCAAAGTCTGTTGGTAGTGAAACTGTTGGTGTTCCAAGTATCGGACTGTTTGGAGGAGTTTAGTGGTTATGTTGGTGATAACAACATGAAAGACCCCTGAGCATGGGAAAAAACAGCACTGCTTAGCATGCCTGAATCAGCATGAATGCTGTATCATTGCTTAACAGGACAGTGGAGCCATGGTGAGATACTTGAGGGAATTGTGATTTATAAGGAGCAAGTTTTCTAGGTGATACAATGAAGAAAAATTTTGATACTGCTCATGTTTCATGGAAAAAAAAAAAAAGTTCTGGATAAAGAACACTGAAAAGAGAGTTCCCAATGATTTGCAGATACGTCACACCATCAGAGACAAAACACACCACCTAATTCTGTCTAATTTCAAAGCAACACTTATTTAAAATACTATCCTATCTGTGCTGGAGCAAGGCTGTCTAAGGAGAAAAATATAGCAGATAACATGCCATATTTTGGAAACACAGTTGTGAACGCAGCCCATGCCACTGCCTAAATGCACTCCTGATATATCACTGTTCTGCAACTGAAAGGATGTTAAGGAAAACCCTGCAGCCATTGCAGCTGGTGCTCTGAGCAGATATTCCAGCCTGTGATTTCTGTGCAGATGAGACCAGTCTGTGATTCTATGGAGGGGGCTTTGGGCAACCTGATCTAGTGGGAGGTGTCCCTGCCCTGGTCAGGGAGGGGTGCAACTGGGTGATCTTGAAGGTCCCTTCCTACCCCACAAACTGGGGCTTCCTAGAGCACCGTGAGCTGCAGAGCTGATGGTCAATGGCCCTCCCAGGAGGCTGCAAAAGGTTGTCTGGCTGTGAGTATTTGATACAGGTACACTGCTGAACTCTGACTTTGCTGTATTTGCCAAGCATTACAGAAAGACTATCCACAAGTACCAACCACCCCCCCACCTGCGTGCTCAATTGACAAGGGATATAATTTCAGCAGAGGAAAAAAAAAAAAGATGTTTATATACTTGGGGGAGCAGAGAAGAGAAAGAGGCTATAAGACTTCTTGCAGCAGAAATAGCATGAAACAGCCGATGGAGTTCAGATCAGGTCTGCACCTCATAAACCAACACCTGAAGCTTCCTTCAGCTCTGACACATGGGTTTTGTTAATTACTGTGATTTTTAAGTCACCAGTTTCAGGCATGACCTCAGTGTGACAACAAGACTGCAACAATACACTAATTTGTCACAAAGGGCATCTTTAATTCCTTCAGTTTCTCGTTGCATTTTGGTAGGATTGCATTCATTGAACATCTTTGCTCAGCAGGAAATTTAAGTTACCATCGTGGACAGATTGATACAGCACAAATATCCCTACAGGCTCACCATCCCCATGAAACTTTGTCTTTTAGGGCCAACACAGTGGTAATTTTGCTCTATCCATCTGTACCAATTACACTTCCCTTGCGTTGTTTCCATCACACAGATTTATTACAGCTGCTTGTTTAGCTAAAGCCCAGGAGTTATGAACCCAAGCTGACCTGATCCTCTGTGCAAAACTCAGTTCCTGGCTTGCCCTAACCACAATGCCACTTGAGAATGTGTCAGCACACAATGGGCACACACGCAATGCCACCGAGGGCACGACACACCCCTATTGTGTGAAGGTGCACCCTTTATTTTCATTCTATTACAAATAATCTTACTTTGCTTCTTTGTTACTGACTCACACATCTAATCCCCGTGCTCCTTCAGATAGCAAACCACACACGGGCTGTAGCGTGCCTGTCTGCGAACAGCCTGCTTTGAGCCAGCACTCCTCAACACTTGCAGGTGCCTGTTGGCAGTCCCAGAGGTCACTGGCCTGCTGCTGCAAGCGGGAAAGCAAACCTAAGCAAATGCCCGTGGTGTTATCCCTTGTGGTGGTGCTCCAGGTCCTGCTCCCGGTGGTGTTAGCTGTCACTAGTCGTGCAGCAAGATGGATTATCTCGCCTGACCCTAGCTCTGCCTATCTTTTAGTCCCACCTGTATCTATCAACAATCTCCCCCAGGCTATACATATATATATATATATATATATATATATATATACATATAAAATTCTTTTTTTGCCAGGTTCTAATTGTAATCATAATTCACATCCCTGTTCACTCTTCTTTATGTCACTCTCTGTTTTTTCAAATTTGACATTCAGTTTCCCTTTCAAAACTGTAACAACTGCTCTTCAGACTCTTACTGCTCATGTGCATTGCTTTGGTTTAATTTTCCTTCTTGCTTTCTGGAAAAATGACGTCTCTCTTATGTTTCATTTTTATGCGGCGCAAAGTACTTCTCAAATTTTGGTGGGGCACTTTCGCAGCCTCCTATTCCTGAGTTAACCAAAAACCCATAAAGTATATGAAAACCTTCCTTAGTCAGAAGAAAGACAATTTTCTGCTCGCCTTCATTTTACCTGTCACAAGCTGTTTTCAGATGCAAACTCCTCAAATCTCCTAAGTTGTTTTCCACTGGCTGGGTCAGCCCTGGCTCAGCCCTGGCTGGCTTTTTTGCTGCTCCATTTTCTATTTGATTATTTTCTTTCACTTCTGTTTACTACAGGTACCCCATGCTCAGTGATGAACTGGGGCCCACATTATTTGAGAGAGGTCTTTATTAAGCACACAGGTCCAGCTCCTCTGCTTAGCAGGACACGTATTACTTCCTTGTGTTTCTATAGCAAACTATAGAAAGCCTAGGACTTCTAATGTAAATAGCAGTCCTTTTCTAGGCTTTTCTTATAGAAAGCCTAGAACTTCTAAGTCTATAGAAAAAAAAAAAAAAAAAAAAAAAAGGACATTTAAAACTCTGAATCCCACTTCCTGATTTGTAGACATTCATAAGCTACAAGTAAATTATCCCTTCTCACTACAGAAGGCTTTTGTACCTGCAGTGCTCTGCAAACCAACTAGCTATGGCTTACACTTCTGCAAAGACAATCCACCTGTTTTATGGCTGCTGACAGCTCAGCTGTGGGGCTTTGAACACTTTAACATCCACGGTGAGAGAAGCTACTTGCATGGGGCTTGAGCAGGGAGGGGATGCTTTCTTGCAAATCAGGCTCAGCCTATTTAATGCCTGGGAGACAAGAGCCAGAATCCAGACTTGGCTCACAAATGCAGCTGCAGCACTCCTCCTGCACAAGAGGCAGGTGGATATGTGGGATTTGCAGGGACCACAGTCTTATCCAAAACCATGGATCTCTGAAGGGGATTTACCAACTGAACAAAGGCTGGAGCATGCAGTCTGGGGGTGGACGGAGGCACCTCCTGCATCCACGGCAAGGAGTGGAAAAATAAGGAAAGACATGGCACAACTGTGATGAATGGAGAACAGATGTTGCAGATGGAAAATATGGCTGGTTTCTTGGCCCCATTTCTCTGGGTGTGGCTACACAATACATCAGATTCAATGATAAATATGAACTACGAAATACATGGTGCTTCTGTTCCCATCACCTTGCTCCCAGACTCTGTGAACTGATCCATGGTAAATACAGTCATTTTGGGAAAGGTTATTTTAATCCAGATCAAGGGGTGTGGTTGAGTACAGGCTGAAATTCCTGCCCAAGCAGTGGCTTTAGCAGATCTGAGGGGCAGTAAATTGCACACTAATGCTAGAATGTACCCAGAGTCCAGGGAAAGTGGGCAGGAGAACATGATTTTTCTAATCAGTTTTGCCACCATGCACAGTGTGGTATGTATACATTCTAAATAACTGAAATAGCCCCATCCAGGTAAAAATTTAGAATGCATGCCATACCTTCATTCACCGATTTTCCAGGTCAGGTTTTGCACTTGAGCATGGTTTGTAAGTTTTTTGTTATTGTTTGCTTTTATCTGTATTTAGCTGATCTAACAATCACAGATATCCACAGGGCTTAAAATTATCTTTTTTTCTTATGCAAAAGTACTGAATATCACACAAAAAATCCTCAGTATTTGAGAAGGTACATCCCAAGCACATGGCTTGGTGACAGGCAGGGTTCAAGACTGCCCATGCTGCCATGTGGTCTTGGTGGAGCAGTGCTCTTAAACACCATGAGATGAACCAAATCTAAGTCCCCAGGTTTTGAATGCACATCACTGTAAACTGGATTGGGAGGTACAACTGGGAAAATACAAAAGGTTTAAAATGCATTAGGTCCCCAAACTCCCTGTTTTTTTTTTTTGTTTGTTTGTTTGTTTTTCCCCATGCCTGGGTTGTGCACCTGCTAAGGGGGTGCACAGCATCAGGCAGTAAACCAAGAGGTCACCTTCACTGCTGGGTATCAGAGAGGGACACAAGGTTGGAGCAACGCTTGCTAATGCTCTGGCAACAGCAACGCAGAGGCCTGGCACGCTTGGCATGGACTGGCCTCGTAATGTGCCACATAAAGCCATGTTTGTAAAGGGCCTCCTTTAAAGGCTTGCTGTGTTAACCCTTTCAGCCAAATTGCTCAAATTTTGGTTCCAAAGAGTATGATGCATTTGCTTTCCCCTTTCTAAAGGGAACACTAAAATTTCAGCTTTTAGAAATAATCAGCACTAATCATTTTTAACATCAATGCACACTAGCATTTGTATTTCTACACCTCTCCTTACATCCCCTCGTGTTTGAACTCCACAAAAACAAAACAGGGAGCACCAGGTCTCACACTGCTCCCTGCTCTGCCGGTGGGAAACGCCGAGGGCGACTTGCAGAGCAGGCAACTGAAATGTTTGTTTTTAATCCCAGAATAGCGCTCTTTTAGGACTGAAATGGGACTGGCCTGCATTCAACCACGAATAAGTTAAAGAAACTAAAAATGGTCACTCCTGCCCTCAGGGTTCACAACAAAAACAGTGGCTTGGGTTTAAATCTACTCACTTACTGCACAGGCTTTGAAAGTATCCCTGAAAACTCCCCAGCTCATTAAATACCTGAAGGGGTGTCTGGGATGAGGTGAGCTGGCTATACTTGGGTTCTGTTTGCAGCTACAGGTACAGAAACCCACAAAACTGTGCGCACACCAGAGCGCTGCTACCCCCTCCGCTCAAACGCGCCAACGCAATTAGCTCTAATTGCCGGGAAGCAGCCTCGGTCTGTTATCTGCCACGTTTTAAAGCGACGATCCAATATCCTCCATCTGTCTTCATTAAAGCACTGCTCACGCTGACACCCGAGCAGCCCAAAACCTGCTTTCTGGCCCGCTGGGCGCAGCGCTCGGGTTACGCTGGGAGCCGGGCGGAGGGGCTGGGGGCAGCGGCAGCCCCTCGCCCCCCGCAGCCTCCCGAACAAAGCAACTTCCCCGCACGGCTCCGCTCGCTCCACCCCGATCTCGATCGCCTGGGTGAAAAACCTCAGCCCAAAGCTCTCCGATTAAGCTCCGCGGTTGGCAAAAAGCGCAAGTTTTTCTGCCCCCGAAAGCTGGCAGAGGGATGGGGCGAGGCGAAGGGGAGCGCTCGACCTTACCCTTGAAGGCTTGCAAAAAGTCACACCAACAAAGTTGCTGCCCTCCATAGCACTCGCACACGCTCCTCTGGTCTCATTCACACGCAGCTCTGTCCCCTCCCGGGACCAGCAGCTCGGCTCATAGTGGCGGCGAGGACGTTCCTCTAAGCAAGAAAAAGCTTCCAGACGCTGCCGGGCATCGTGGGCTCACCTCCCAGCCCGCAGGACCTGGAGCAGACCCGCTCTGCCATGCAAAGTCCCGGTAACTAAAACTTACTCTAAGTTCCCTACTTCTTACTTCAGTCACTGGGCTTGGCGCCTTGCCAAATCCTTCCTTTTTTTTTTTTTTTTTTTTTTTTTTTTTTAAATTCTGTTTCCTGTAGATAGGGAGAGTGTAGCGGCGCCCTTAAAAATAAAATGCCCAGCACAACATGCTGTGAAAGACCACGGCAGCAGGAGCACGGAGGGATGGGGCACCCTGCGTGACCCTGGAGATGACCGCTGGTCTCCTCACCTACCTCCTGTTGGCGCAGAAACCTTCAAACCATGAGGGTAAAAGGGTCCGGCGTATCAAATTGCCTTAAAAAAGGATGAGCTTGGTAAGGGATCCATCTCCCAGCAGCAGCCCCTCTCCGTAACGCCGAAGCCTGTCGGGGTTCCTTACACCCAGGGAAACTGCCCTACAAGCCGATCCCAAGGCTCCACCTCGTCCACTTTCCAACAGTTGTGAGCAGCAAAAACTCTGCAGGGAGAAAGCCTCATAAAGCACGATTGCATAACTCAACCACAGGGCTTCCTTTAGCCCGTCAGAGGATCGCCTTGGCGCCGAAACACCAGGGTTTGCTCATCCCTGGCAGTGTGACCTCCCCGTGGCCACTGGGACATGCGCATGGCCTCATCGCTGCCTGGGGACCCTCCTCACCCTCAGCAGCCTCCCAATATTCCTGCTTGTTCCCCTCCCGCTATGAAAAACATCAATGTTTTTCCCCCAGTTATAGGGCCGCTCACAAGAGAGTGCCCCCCTAGATGCCAGAACCAACCAGGTTTACTGCAGAGACCCAAACCAGGCCAACGGCGACGTTAATCCGTCTTCCTGCTTCCCTACACCCGTGGACTGTAATTATTCTGCGATCACCCTAAGATGTGTCAACAGTAGCGTCTGCCAGAAACATGCCAGTTCACTGCAGACAGCAAGAGAAAGTTTAACTTGGAAGATTTCTATTTGTATTTCTCTCTCCATTTTTTTTCCTTCATCTACTGTGTTTTCCCACTGGATTGATGTTAGATGGATTGATGCTAGAATTAATTTCAAGGCTACCCGCAGATACTTGAATGCATCGATCAGCCCATTAATTATAGTAACTTGAGAGGCAAAGGTTTGACAAAAAGTATTTTCTGGAAGGTGAAATTTTCTGAAGTCCTGCCATGACAAAAAGCTTTGGAAGACCCAGGATGCTGTACCAGCAGTGCTCCAGTGGTCACAGAAGGATGAGTGCAAAGGCGCAAGGAGCAGAATTAGCAATTTCTGAAGGAAAAGCAAGAGCATGTACCCCTCTGCACTGGGGGTTATGCCAGATACTCTGGCATTGACTCCAATGTTATTCTTTCAAGTTACACCTATTTTAGACAATATTTATTCAAATTCCTAATAAATAAATAAATAAATGGATCTACATAAACAGCCAATGTGGGACACAGTGTACAGGACTGATCTCCTCCAGACTCAGGACAGATGATTTTGAATCGAAAATCATCTAACTCAAAAAGGAATTTCCCCTGCACCACTAGCCATTTCTCACGTTCTCACCACCCACAACCCATTTCAACAGCAACAGCCACAAGTATCTTCTTTTTTTTTTTCTTTTTTTTTTTTTCCCTGCAGTCAAAAGAACAAGGATTTGGATTAATTTGGCTCTCCTATATATTTGGAGAACCCCTTGTTCTTGCTTCGTTCTGCAGTTTTATTCCTTCTTAGCTTCAGAACTTGGTTTTTTTTTTTTTTTTTTTTTTTTTTTCTTTCTTTCTTTCTTCATTTTAAGACGTTAGCTGAGTTCCCCACTACTACCACTTTCTTTGCTGCTCTCTTTATATGAGTGTGTTACCACATTGACCTTGGCCACAGTCATTGCTTCCTTACTAGAGATAAGTTCATCTCCTTCCTTTAACATGAGGGTAGACTCAACCATAAAACCAGCTGGCCTTGAGGCTTGTTGTTTAGACTTCAAAATAGCTAAAAATTAGGTAGGATGTTTTGTTCTTTGTGACTTTTCATGGCACTGAAATCCATTTTATTCACATAGGCAATGACTTTTTCCCCCCTGCTGTATGATCCCCATGTGCTTCAGTGGGACTGCTCGTGTAAGGCAAGCTCAGCACATGCAGAAGCACTCAGAAAAACAGGAGTTACTCTGTACTGACCCATCTCTGAGATCTCTTGTCTAGCCCTACACTTTGGTCCCTGGGAAACATCTTCCCAACAACCACATCACTTCCTCCTTTGCCAATTTCTGAACCCATCACGGAAGGATGCAGCCTGAAAAGCTAAGTTGTCTGGATTTCAGTGCCTACGTACACGTACCCCAGGTGTTTGAGCTCCCACTGCAGTCAGTGTGGTTTGGGCAGAAGTTCAGCTGGCCAGCTATAGCAAGGCAGCAGCAAGTTTGCTGTGATCACTGGTGTGTGAAGGAGTTCATTCTGCTGCCTTTCCAGTAAAGGAGAGCAAGCGGCTGCACACCGTAGGTCTTCATCTTTGAGTCCTCCACTTTCCAAGCTACCCACTAGTCATGGGTGGCTGGCATAGAGCAGGATGGATTTACGTTCATGCCATGAAGAACTTATTTCAGCACCACAGCAGGGAGAAATATTTCCAGTCGTTCAGCCTGTGCTGGATTTCAGCTACAATCAAGGTGCAAAACTGAGGACTTATTGGCATCTAAAGGATGCCTCCTTCTGGGCCAGATCCTATGTTCCACCAAAAAGCTAAGCTGAGAGAGCAGTTGACCTTACCTGGAAAACACTGGACTCAAACATGCCTGTTGAGTTAGAAAGATTTTTTTTTTTTCTGTTACTGCCTTGTAACTCCAGTCTTGCCCAAACTGCAAGGTGTGAAGCTTGACCTGTTCCACTGTTGCTGGTGTCTCTCATGCCACACTCATTTAACTGCTCTGCCAAAGAACCGATAATGTTCTGATAAACTGGTAGAAACTTAGCATATCTCTGCTTGAAGGGATGCTGTGGATTCCTATGCATACACACAGCTCCTTGGGTCTGAAGGCTAGGGCACGGCCTCAGCACGGCAGGTTCATGCAGCAATATTCCCATACCCCACTGATTATTCCAGCACTTGGGTGCTGTAAGGTACATGCCCAATGGAAAAGGTCAGAAAATAGTTTCAGTGGGTGTGTGCAGAATAACATGACTTGTACTGATCAGGATGCAGTGGAGGGCTGCTTACCTGCAGCACGGAAAGAAGGGTGCGTGGATAGAAATTCCCTTTCGCCATCAAACCCCTGTCCCAGTACTCTTAGCCTTTAAAAAATGATCCTCTGGGGAAATTCATGGGAAATCCACAAAGGTGGAGCCTCTTGCATATGAAAGGAAAGCAGCAGCTTGCTCTGATGACTGTTGATCTCATCTTCCTGGCACTAACACCAGCTGACATGATACCTTCTTGACTTTTTAAAACTGAAATTAAAATAGTCTCTTTCTTTTTTCCTTTTCACAGCCCAGAGAAGACAGAGCAGAGGTGAAAAACTTTTGGTCGGAGAGTGTTTATATGGTTCAGTTGTTCATATTACACTGAGGAGGAGATAAAATTTGTATTCAGTTCTGCAGGGAATGAGGCCCAAAATCAACCCGTCTCTGAGGTCCGTTTCCTACCAGATTTGGTGTCTTACACTTACAAACTCCCCCTGGCCAACAGTTTCATTGCCCTGGTTGGGAAGGGGCTGTTGCAAGGGTGGAAGTCTTGCAGGGACCTGAAACACCTGCAGTGATCCTGTTAAGGGATTTGAGGCACACTGAAATTAATAGGACCTGATGGAGATACACCTGGCACGGGACTGTGTTCTTGGGCTATAAATATGTGTCTGTTTGCTGGTGACACAGCACATGCCCAATTGCATGGGGAGAGCACGGGGATTAATTAGCAGCAGCCCCAGATGTGTCCACCCTGCTTTTAGCACGTATTTCCTTATCACCTTCAGTGAACTAAGTGGAATCCCGAGGGAAGGGGGAGGAGGGGGGAGATTGGGAGGTCTTGTTAAAAGCTAATCATGCCTACGTGAATAGAAAAATCAATAGCTGAGGGCAAAGCAACAGCCCAGCCTGTTAGAGCCTCAGATTAAAGTGCCCTTTGTAACACGGGTATTACACAAGACCTCCCGCTGTTATTTGCAAGGCAGTAGCTGCCACAAACACACATGCTTTATCTGGTGGCACTTCAAAGACTGTCACATGCACGATCCTCAGACACATCAAAAAAAAATCCACAGCTCATACCACTGAGGAATTAGGATACCCCCCGGTGGGACCCTGTGCTTGATCACACAGAGGGAATCCAACCCATGCAGGGCGAGCAAAAGGCCTGGGTATTTTGGAGTCTTCCCATGAGCTACTAGGTTTCTGTACTAAGTGTGCGTGAAGGAGATGGGAGGTTACAGGATCCTCAGGGGACAGATAGCTCCTGCATGCCCTGCAGCATCACCCAGGGGCCTGGGAGTATTTGCTTAACCCCTCAAGGTTAGCTTTATGCTTTTCTCTGACACTCAGTCATCCTTCACATGGAAAACTCAGGTGGCACTGCAGGAGGATTCCTTTAAATACCATGTCGCATTCATTATGTTCATAAGCTCTATCAATAGTTCCCAATTAAATGTGCCATGTGTATGTACAGCTGTACTGTCTCTTTTCCAGGTTACAATCACACACATCCTGCCAAGAACAACACTGAGGCAACCTGCTGCCTGGCATGAAATTCTCCCTAGCATCAACAATCTTTTATATATTTTATATTATTATTTTCTACATTACATCTTTGTTATGCTAGCACTAAAAACTGAGACCGAGTGACTTCTTGTCCTGTCCTATCTCAAGTTCTGTGAGTTCTGAGAAGAACAAGGAAACCTCTCCCTTGTGGTCAGGACAGCATCAGAAAAACAAACAAAAAAAAAACTTATTAAACAAGAATTGGCTCCCCTCCGAAACATCAAATTTTAGCTAATTACCCAAAGATCTAAAATGGCTGCTCTCATTTATTACCCTGGCATAAATAGAAATAAATAAATAAATAAATGACCATATTGATTTCCCTG